TCCGCGCACTTAACCACTACACCAAACAAGGAAGTCCAGGGTCACCACACAGAGGGAGGCCATGGCAGAACACCTCTATTAGTCTTTTCCCATGACCTGGGTGTCCCAGGAGAGCCCAAACTCATCACCACCAAACAAGGAAGTCCAGGGTCACCACACAGAGGGAGGCCATGGCAGAACACCTCTATTAGCCTTTTCCCATGACCTGGGTGTCCCAGGTGAGCCCAAACTCATCACATCTCTTCAGATCTAAGAAGCCAAGCAGGGTTAGCACACGAAAGCTTATACCCAGGATCAAACTCTGTTGATCTTAAACGGGCCTCTGGACTCAAACTTTGTTCTCTTGGATGGGAGCTAGTGCTTGGGCAATAGCAAGCCTCCTCTCTGAAACATCCTAGCCCCACTAGGGGTCACCTGGAGTCGCCATGATTTCCAGGCACACATACGTACACACGCCCACAAAGTACTCACGCACAAAAAGGTGAACGTCCCTCAGTTAAGAGCCTGCTTAAAAGAAATGTCTTGGTCCAGCATCCAAAAGGACAGCAAGGAAGGTACAGTGTAAGCCCTCTCAGTGCTCAGGATAGTCCAGGGTAGACCGATCCCGTCAGACCTTGGAAGCTAAGCAGGGTCGACCCTGGCTAGTATTTGGATGGGAGACCTCCAAGGAATACCAGGGCTGGGATGCAGAGGCAGGCAATAGCAAGCCTCCTCTCTGAAACATCCTAGCCCCACTAGGGGTCACCTGAAGTCGCCATGACTTCCAGGCACACATACGTACACACGCCCACAAAGTACTCACGCACAAAAAGGTGAACGTCCCTCAGTTAAGAGCCTGCTTAAAAGAAATGTCTTGGTCCAGCATCCAAAAGGACAGCAAGGAAGGTACAGTGTAAGCCCTCTCAGTGCTCAGGATAGTCCAGGGTAGACTGATCCCGTCAGACCTTGGAAGCTAAGCGGGGTCGACCCTGGCTAGTATTTGGAAGGGCGACCTCCAAGGAATACGAGGGTCGTGACGCAGAGGCAGGCAGTGGCAAACCACCTCTGAAAGGTCTCTTGCCTTGAAAACAAGTCCAGCTCCCCACCTAGTGGTGCGTAACACTAAAAGAGCTAGAACTTCCTAGCTGCCAGGCAATCTTAGGATCTCCCGACTATTCTACACAACGCCAGACATTAATTAATTAATTACTCTAAGGAAGGAAGAACTTTGGAACCTGGGTGGGATCTGTTGCAGCGAATGACTCAGCAGGCCTGGACATTGGGGGGGGGGGCACGCTACATCACTCCAGCCGCGAATGACTCAGCAGGCCTGGGCATTGGGGGGGGGGGCACGCTACATCACTCCAGTGTGCATAAGTGTTATCTCTTTGAATCGGATGCCTCTCTTTGTCTGAACCTGGGTGCTCCTTTCTGACACCACCGCAACTTGTTCTTCCCCTTTCTCCGCATGGCTCTGCATGGAGTCCCACGTCTCTACAGGCCTCTCCTGTAAAAACAATGCCCTCATATTTCCACATGTGCGATACCAGATCCAGCTGGCCACTTGTGATAAGGAAAGTACTCTTTGGATGAGGATTCTCTCTCTCTTCTTCTGGCTGCAACCTGAGTGTGAACAGAATCTGCTTGAATAAATGTAAGTTTTCCTTTTGCATTATACTTCTTGGGAGATTTGTTTACTGTACTTAATATCATGGTTCTACAACTGGGCAAACTCTGCGATATTAACCAAATATCCCAATCAGGGGTCATTTCCTACAGGAGCACACAGGAGTGGAGCTCCGGCAGTAAAGAGCCCAAGGGGCGGACACATGCAACAATCCCCACTCCCTGCTCCCAGCAGCCCGCAGCCAGGTAAGTTGCAGAGCCCCCACCCCGGCCCCCCGGTCCAAAACAGTCCAGTGGCACCTTTAAGACCAAGTTTTATTCAGGTACAAGCTCTCCCTCCTCTCTGAGGGCAGATCGGTGCATTCCCCCCCCCTCCATAGCTAGCAATCCAAAACAGTCCAGTGGCACCTTTAAGACCAAGGTTTACTCAGGTACAAGCTCTCCCACCTCTGCGAGGACAGATCTGCAATGTCCCCCCCTCCCAAGCTAGCAATCCAAAACAGTCCAGTGGAGCCTGAGCAGTGGGTGTTGCCTTCTGACACACTTCCAGTGATGTCAGGGGGTGTGGCATATGCAAATAAGTTATGCTAATGAGCTATGCTAATGAGCTCCTGCACCTCTTTTTCTACGAAATGACTCCTGATGCCAATAGCGTCATTGTGGCCCATCAGGGGCCAGAAAAGACTGCGCTTCACACACCCACAGAGCCTTACAAGTGTGCCCGTGTGACGGATTCTCAGAGCAGCTCTGACAACTAAGCGCCGTTGAAAAGTGGGGACATAAATACAGTCGATGCATTAATTAATTATCGTCCTGCCCTGCCCGGCAAGCAGTGTTCCCTCAAAGCTGAGTTAGTGTGAGCTAGTGCAAAGTTTTTTAGCCACCCGCTCACACATTTTTGTCTTATCCCAGGAAGGATGGCTCCAGAGCAAACTAATTTATGCCGTAGCCAAATCGCTCACTCACAGCTTTCATGCCAGTGGCTCACAAAGTAGAATTTTGGCTCACAAGACTCCACAGCTTAGAGGGAGCATTGCTTACAAGGTGTGTGTGGAAGGACAGGGAAAATACAGCCCACATTAAGTGCATCAAATGCTCGCAAGCCCTGTGGAAATCCTTCCTATTGCTTATTGCTGCTCCGGGAGCAGTCTATTTTCACCTCGCCCAGGTTTGTGGCAGCGGCACTGGAGAACAACAGTCACGTTTCAACAAGGAGAAC